AACCAAGAATCCCCTAGTTGGTGGTTTCAAAGACTTTCAAAAAGACTTAAAAGCGAATAAAAAGACCAACCTACATTGTTATATATAAAATAGTATCTTAATAACGTATTCTACATGGACATTGTAGTAAATGCATTTCCCAACATCAAAAAAGAGAGGGCGTATAAATATATCTAAAAGAATTTTCGAAGATATCGCGTAACATTTTTATTTTAGTTTTTTTTTTGCTTAGAATGTCATAGCTACGTCCACGCGATATCGCGTGATTGGCAATGAATCTTTTAAAAATATATTAGTTAGTTAGCAATCGGTGAAACAGACAAAACTTGATCTTTGTTTGAAATTTGCTAAAAATTTAGACAAAATTTCAAAAAATATAGAGGGTTCCTGTGAACACTTTAAATATGAAAAATAATAAGGCAAATCACACTAAGTTTGCTATAGCAATTATTATATAAGAAAAATCTGTCAATCGATCAGATCTAATTTGTTTTTAGTATAATTAAATCCAAATCAAACTGGATTTACGTATAATCGAAACTTGAAATAGAAATAAAGCATGAAACCAGTGTGGAGGTAAAAAATTGTTTGTCTTGCCAAAGTCGCCACAAGGTCGCTTCAAAACAAAATGCCGAATTAATCAAAAACAAGTTATACACGAATATTCTATTTTTATTTATTTGTTGCATTTTATTATATTTAATATTACTTTTTTCCTTATTTTTCTTATATATTTTAATTTTCTTATTACTATTTGATTATGTACACACAAGCAGATAATTTGAAGAAAATTATTATTTTTTGCCTATATGTAGGTACTCGTATCTATGGCGTTTACATTTTCTATTTAATTTTCTTCAGTTTTGAAATTATATAAAACTTATAATATATCAAACATAAAGGCACACGTATGAGGAGGACACTCAGTGCTGGCTTTGGGGGGGGGGGACCGGGGCGGCTGCCCGGGCGCCAGGGTATACAGGGCGCCGCGCGCGCCAGCTCAACTTAACCATTTAATTTGAATACTTATTTTTATCGATCTAAAGGAAAACTAGACTCAGCCTTTAATCGTATCTCTTACTGAATAATTCTACATACATGTTTTTTTAATTGTAATGAAATAAGTATACCTAAACGGGTACCAAAGGCATGACTCGCCCGGGGCGCCCAGATAGTTAAGGTCGGTACCGAGGACACTAAATTATATAAATATTCAGTTTACGAGATTTTGTCACTATTAAAAATCGCGTGTCATTTATTTATTTGTCTTATAGGAATGTGAAAGTGATATTTTAATTTGAAAGGAGCCAATAATTTTTTTATTGTTAGTTATAACTTTTGAGAGCTCCCCCATAAAGAAAAAAAGAAAAAAAATATAACTCGTAAGAGTTTTTTTTGGAAATCTATACGTAAATCATACAATACTAACCACTACTTAAAAACTTCATTATTTCTTTATCATTTTCATCAATAATATTTTTATCATTAATTTAAAATTGTACACGCAAATAAAATTGTCATATTATTTGCTTTTAAAAAATTACAGGCGTCAACATTAAAAATATTGTACCAAAACGATTTCCATAAATAAATACAATCTTACTACTATATAAATGCGAATGTTTGGATGGATAGATGTTTGTTACTCAATCACGCCAGAACGGCTGAACAAATCTAGATAAAATTTGGCACAGAGATAGATTATAGTTTGGAATAGCACATAGACTACTTTTTATCCCGGAAAAATGTACGGTTCCCGTGGGGTCGATTTGTTATTGTTTTTCACTAGGGACGAACCTGAGCGAAGCGAGCCGCTAGTAACCTATAAGTTTAATATTTACTTTAAATAATATATCTAACTGCACGTCATTTTATATTTTTAGAAAGCTATAAGCATGGTGGGGTTCCTATACTTCAGCTTGTTAAATATATTTTTAATATACTAGGTAAGTTTTCTTCAAATGAATAAGATACTTTAATAATACATACATATTAAAAAAATATATAGAGAATATGGTCAAGTTTATATGTGAACTACTCGTGTTGGAAGATAACTTATTTTGTAGGCGTAAGTATTTGGCATATACAATTGTTTTTGGTATTTTTAGACTTACTAATCATAACTAGACTGATTTATGGGTAAAATAGAATAATATAACTGGTTTTCCATATTTTTCTAAGAATTATTTCAAGAAGAACATCTAGTAAATTAAGTCTCTACATTGTCTCAATAGTTTTAAAAATTGCGACAATGACGATGAAAGAATGCATGAAACTTTCAAAAATTATGCTGCAACGGCTCTACAGACTTAACTAATAAATATACTGTTATATAATAATAAATATAATAAATACACAATAATAAACACACAAACTAGCATTTAGTGTGCGTGAACAAAATGATCCATATAGGTACAAATCAATAAAACAAAGTAATATAACCAATCATAAATTAATTTATTCCATTTTTACATTAAACCTACGTTTATATTACATAAGACGTTTAATTTTATTAGAATAACATTTTCACATTTCAAGGCAGTTACGAAGAAATATCAGAAGCCTTGATTCATCCTATCTTATTAGCTATTTAATATTAAACTTAATTTTAGAGGCAGTTGAAAGCAGTCATACTTTATTACAAAATCTCATATTGCATTAAAACCAATCTCACAAAATATATTTTTACTTTCTTGCTTCCATTATGGTTTTAGTGCTTTAGTTTCTGATTAAATTTTAATATTTTTAATATTCAATTTTGTTTTTCAATGAACTGTAATTAATGGCCAGTTTGAAAATTATGCAAGCTTTTGCAATAAAAACTTTTCGAATATTCCTAAATATTGTGTGTGTAAAAAAAAATGTGTGTGTGTGTGTGTGTGTGCAATTCACTCACGGTACAAGTGAAACTTTTTTGGCAAATATCGCAATTAAATTAAAACAAATCAATAATTAAATAAGGCATATTAGGCATATTACAATCATATATTTATTGAATATTATATACGGAAAGAATATAATATTATACATTTATCAGGCATGTTGTATTATTACAATGGTTACCATGGCAACATGGTAATGTATTCTATCTCATTCTCTCGTCGGCGTAATCTTATATAAATATGTGTTTGTCTCTTCTTTCTTTGTCTCTTCATTTTTGTTTCATCAAGTTTCAAATCACAACGATTCCAAAGAAGTTTCACTTCACAAAATTGAGATCATTACAATGAACTTAACAAGCAAATCTCAAAAGCTAGACGTAATATTTTGGTGCAGATATATCAAAAACCCGACTATATAATAATATTTAAATAGACACTAAACTAAATAAATAAAGCAGGAGGATGGAGGCTATGTACTTGCCAAGCACGTGCGTAAATGGCACATGTATTAGACTTAATAATAATGTTATAACTAACACGCTTCATACAATTTTTCAACCGACTTCAAAAAGGAGGAGGTTCTCAATTCGACTGTATGTTTTTTTTTTTTTGTATAGTACTCGTATTATAACTAAGTTTTGAAATTGTCTAATTGCCTATGCAGTTGTTGATAATGTACTAGCAAAATGACTTTTTAGCTAAAAGGTACACTGAGATTATTAGGATATTGTTTTAGTTCATATAAATCACCAGTAAACAAAAATAACAAGGAAAGTTACACGAACGAAGTTTGATTAGCGTTTATCCGCATAGGAAATATTTTTTTTTAATATGTCATAACTATTTTAGTCTGTAAGAATAATTTAGCATTCTTAGCTTAAACTTTTAAGCCGACGTAGCCTTTATATAGGAATAATTTAAAAACATTAATTTTATAACGTCTGTTAAGTTGAGTATTCATTAAATGTATTAAAAACTAAATAAAACAAAATCAAATCTATCCCACGGGAATTGTACATTTTCCGGATTAAAAGTAACTTATGTGCTATTCCAGACTATAATCTATCTCTGTGCCAAATTTCATCGACAACCGTTCAGCCGTTTTGGCGTGATTGAGTAACAAATATCCATCCAATTTTCGCAAAAAAGTCCCATTAAAATCAGTTTACTAATGTAGAAGATATCGTGTAACAGACACGAAGCAAACATACACTTGAATTGAGTATTTTATATTATTAATGAATATTCCTCTTTTTTAAAGTCGGTCAAGTATATCAGTTTTCATGCGCGAATGAAGTCATTCAGTGTATGAATACCTAACTGTTTTAAGCGAATATTAATACGAGTACCAATACTTATAAAAAATTTACTACCACTGATAAAAGAATAACAAATGGTCGAAATAAAACGTTATGAGATTAATTGATATTTAAATTAAATGTCACTGTTTAGTACTTTAGTAATTCGTTCGTTCGAAATAGATTAAAGATCGCAAGTGCTTATTTGAATAATGAAACAAAATATATATAATAGCTTTAAATACAAGTGGTTTGTAGAAAAGTATAACAAAGAAAATCAATATTTTAAAGATGTTTTGAGAAACGTATTTAAATAAAATACCTACATTTTAAATTAAATTTTCCTTTTAGAATTTTTATTTCCAAACTGATACAAGTTCGAGAATACTTTTTCAAATCAAAAACAGAGATTTTTTTAAATTTTCACTTGTAGCTAATCTAGCTATAATTATGAAGAAGCATTGAATAATTAATATTTTTTAATTTACTTTACAGAATCTAATGTTAAAAGTAAATAATACACTAGTTTAGAGTTTGGTTACTTACACATTTACATTATTTGGTCCCAAAGCCGTACTACACCAAAACTCTAGAGCGAATCAACCAGACAAGTTGCAATCTATAACATACTCGTACATTGCCTCAAACGGGCATCGAACCCGCAAAAAATCTTTAATACCATTTTTCAAAAAGAAAAATGACCACATCAGTTAACATATCTAATTATATGAGGCTCCTATATTAGTATTTACATTTGAGCGCTCGCAACACAGTGCGTACTATGACACTTTCGGAAAAGTTTCGAGTCCATGGCAGTTTATCCTGAGCCGTTAGTGTATGCGTCAGACGCGACTCTTTGCCCTGCCCGTATAACACTTTGCACAGTCTGTGCTGCTCCCTGAAAAATAAATTAAAATAACATTTAATTACAAATTAAAATGGTACATTATATAAAACTAGACCTAGATAAAAACAAGTATGTCCAACGGGAACAGTACATTTTTCCGAGATAATATAAAGAGAGGTCATTCCTTAATAAACGAGCTATCTAACGCAAAAAGAATTTTTCAAATCGTATTAGTAGTTCCCGAGATTAGCGCCTTCAATCAAACACACAAAGTCTGAAAAACTCAAAACCCTTTATAATAGTAAGTATAGTTTATATATACATGGCTATATCATAGTCTAAAAAAATTATATTGATTGTACTAGTATATTAGATAGTAACTGCCTCGGTGGTGTAGTGGCTAGCATGAACGGCTGCACATCCGGAGGTCACGCTTTATAACAATTAAATAACTGCCATTTCTATAAATCCTGAATTTTAAAAAAGGTTGTACTTTTTGTTGAATTTACACAAAAACCATATTTAATGAAAATTAATAAATGTATGTAATTTAATGATATAGTAAATATCACAATTCCGATTAATATCTGGGTTAAAATTTAGTGTTACATTTTATTATACAAGCGTTAAAGTTAGTTGTCAGATAACTTACAAAAGAGCTCCAATACACCTGAAAACTTTATAAATTTAGACATGTTTACAAAATTCCAATCGTTCTATTAACAATAACAATTAATTTAATTTAAGATATAACACCTTGTCTCATCGCCTCTACTGGTGACAAGAGGGCTGGCTTGTTTTTCGTCCAAAGAATCGGCATTGCCATTCAGTGGGGGAATGCGGCTAGCAATCTTGCCACCATTCCACACGGACGTCATATATACAGTAATAAATAACAGTACATTTATTTTATATACATATAATTAAGTATAACTATAATTCTTTTAAGGAATACATATAATGAAATTTAAGATTTTTTTAAATTCTTTTAATTGATTACCTGAATCGCTGCGCCTAGGAACTGCGAAAAAGCTCTTGTGACGTTTATGGCCGCAGATACCAACTGCCCCCGACCCGGGCCTTGTTCTGATGTCACTACACTCGGGGGTTCCAAAGGAATCTACATGTAAAGCAAACATTAATAAAATATCATTAAATACTAGGAAAAATATTCACAAGTCTAGTAGCCAGAACAGTTAGTATATGTGTGAATTACAATATAATATGTACATAGATGATTAGTATAGTCCCATACATAAAAAAATAGTAAAATAAAATAAAGAATACAGCATTATATACAGTGAAATTACAAGGAATGAGGAGTAGAGGAGTGTAATGGAGTAGTATCATCTAATTATTTACAAAATATGTATTTACAAATTTTGGAGAAAATATATCAACCCCAAAAACCTTACATAAATGCTATTTATTCAAAATTTATTTATCCATGGCCCTTTATTTATGTATATCTGTAGAAAATCACATATATGCGCTATTCCGTGGCGATTTACAAAATATGAATTAACTTAATATTATTTTTAACATGATTATCTCTTGGCAAATGGACGAAGGAAATAAGAAAACTCGTATTGAATTTATATACATAATTAATACTAATGATGTGTTAATTTTTTTTTCAATAAAACAAGAACGTATATAAGAATAACTAATTACAAAATCCATATGTACATGATTATCTATCATATAATAAAACTGTAGAGGTCGAATGTCTGTACATAGAAAATAAATGCTAAAAACCGAGTCAGGGGGATTAGAAGAGAAATAGAACAAATCCAGATATTTTATTTTATTTTTTTTTTGTTTGTCTATCTGTTTGTCTGTTTTTCTCTTGAACCGATTAAATTGAAATGTTGCATTTTAGTACCTTATATCCCCCGTCAACATTTTAGATACTATTCATCCCGGAAAATTAAGGAGTTCCCGTGGGGTAGTTAAAAAACTATAATAACTTATACAGCTTAGTACACAACAATTTACGCACCGAATTTAGTACAATTTGCCATGCTGATACCTTATATTTCCGGTCAAACAACAGGTTACATTCCTAGTCAGAAATAAAAGGTTCCCGTGGGATAGACTTATTTGTGCTTTTCTAGAGGCGAACCCGAGCGAAGCGAGGATGAGTCGCTAGTTTATAATAATGTTGGATTTAATATACATTATAAGAATAATAATAAATAGAAATATCAGTAGTTAGATTTCGCAGATGAGTTTAAATTTAAAACACATGCTTAAGTTAGAAGGAAATTGTGAAGAAGCTTTCGAAATTTCCTATTATACTAAAATTATTTCAGAAACAATTATTAATTTACTTACCAAAGTTCACAAATACACTGACACTCACAACTATTTAATAACTATGTTACATTATGCTAGTTATGCCCGCAGTTGCGCTCGCGTATTTTACTAATATGCATATTGTCTCCGCTCCTAAGGCCTTTCTTAAGAAATTGGCTATAAAATATATACCTACGTTTTTTCTGATTGGACTCGGTAGCTCCAGATAGGTTTTAAAATTAAAAATCAGCTTTTTAAAGTTAGTATAGATATGTACGAACTTTTACAACAAATACTTTTCAATATTACCTAATAAAAATATTTATTATTCACAAAATTACCAAACAATTCCCACAAACTTTACATTGTTAAAATGGGTATTTAACTACATATCAGATGCAAGGGACAAATATTTACAGGTAATGTCATTGGACAGACATTTATTAATGGGAATTAAAAAACAATGGGATTAAGGAAACTATTTAAACACATACACAACAGTTAAATGCATTTGTTTTAATCACTGGTCATTATTTAAATATAAATAGTTAAAAACGTGCATTATTGTGCAAGGTTTGTTTGTGGAACGTGAAAGTTGTGTTAGTAACAATGATACAATAAGGCAGTTTATAATTTTTTTATTGGCGTCGCCTAATATTTAACAGTATTTACAGAAAATGATATGACAAAATAAAAAGCCATTTCAAATAAAATTACTTTAAAAATTAACGAAAATCAAAGCATTTTGAGAATTATTCCAAATTTAAAAGCAGAAGAAGCGTTTTCTTTATAAAAAAAATAAATACTTAAATGTCTTAAAGTAACTAAACATACGAGATGTGCCTTTCCTCCAACGTTTGTTATAAGATATAGAAAATTAGCTCGCAATGAAATAAATGTACAAATAAATGGGAAGGACCAAAGGGAAGAAAGAATTCGTCGGAGTATCACATCTAACGTATGTCATTAATTTTCTACATATTTACACAATAATTCTTAATACCATTTTATTCTGTACAGTCAAATCAAAACAGACCTAAGAGTAAATTATAAATAAACTATAGATATGAATTTAGCCTAAATATGTAGTATCCATCACCTCATCCCCAGTCACATAACCTAAGTAAAAGAGACGAGAAACCCACTCTGTTTGACGTCGGCCTTTCATCAGCGTTACCAACGAAAGGCCCCGAGCCAAACCAGTTGACTCCCGAACTTGTTGCTGCAGATGGCGCATTTGAAGGTCTAGTTGATTCTGGTCGCCTATTTGGTCTTGGTTGACCAGGACCAGGGGCTGTCTCCCTCCACTGCTGCCATAGCCATGCGAGGCCATCCAATATTGGTCTTCGAGGAGGTGGTGGTGTCGTAGTTGGTCTAGCTTTAGGCGTCACTACGACTTGGTTGAGTAAAGCCTACGAGGTTAATTTGTTATGTGTTAACTTTTGAATGTAATTTTTATGTAAAATAAAGTTTTATGTAATAAATTACATAATTGTGATGTCAAAAAAAAAAGAAAATAGTTATTAGAAGTTATTAAGAAAAATTAAATGTTAGCAAAAACATAGACTGTTGATTGTAAAATTAACATGTTCAATTAAATTTGATTAGGTATGAAAAATTAGATATTATACAAAAAGCTTTAACTAACAGCTAGTCGAAGCTGCTCATCAATAGAACTTGCGGTTGTCGGCCCAAATCCTTGTTCCTTCAGTAAAGCAGCAAGTAACGCATCATTGCTATTTCCATATTCTGTGCTTAATGAAATTGAGGATTTAGTCGCTTCAGATACCATACCAGCAGGCTGTGCTTGTTGCAATAATTTTTTTAGTGCTTCATCTGATGACTGTCCTTAAATGTTAAACAAAAATAAGTATTGAATTATACAAGTTTTAACACATATGATTAACCTATTCTAGAACGTTGTATTGGCATAATTTACCTGTAAATGCAATTTTCCCTCGCTGTGTGGTAGTTTCTTGTGCATCTTGAAGTTTAATCAAAGTTTGTAATAGTTTTGCATCATCCTGTTCATTTTTTAAGTCATCTTTAACTGCAATTTTAGCTCCATAAGGTTTAACAGTTGTAGTAGGGACCGCCGCGTTATTTGGAGATTTAATATCAGCTACTGGTCTCTGAATTAAATTATTTAATGGTATAGTTAAAAATCATTTATTAATTTAATGTTGTAGTTTTAGGACTTACCGCAGTATTTAATGTTGGAATATTAAATTTGGAAGGATCTTGTCCAGTAGCCTTTAGCAATGCCTGTAATAGTTTAGTATCTTCCTCAAACTGCTTTATATCATCTTCTATTGAAGGTGTATTCAACGTAGAAACGTCTGTAGTGGTGCGTGTAGTAGTAGTGGGTGGTCTTGTAGTTGTTGGTCTAGTCGTAGTACTAGGTCTGCTTGTAGTAGAAGCATCAAGTGTACCACCTTGAATTTCATTCAAGCTTCTTTCTACAGCAAGTGCAATAACACGATTGGCAAGTGCTGTTTCAGGGTCTTCTCCATTTGTTTTTGAATTCAAAACGGATTTCTGCAATTTAGATTTTATTGAAGCTATATTTTTTAATATTTCCTTATACGAGTATTTATAAGAAAAAAATGTTTCGATACTCTTTTTTACAAAATTTTATTGTTTTTTTTTTAATACACACTAGCTACTAGCTAAACCTGCCAATGTGAGTCATTTTTCAAATTTAATGGATGCTAGAAAAATAAAATTATATAAGAAAATGATCCCCATCTATATATAGAGGAAACCTGTTTCAGAACGTGAATTTAAAACCATACAAAAGCTCAAAAGATACGATAAAACAAACAGACAAAGAAAAATATTGTTGATTTATCTAACTTTACAGATTTTTTTTTTCAAAAAAATCTAAAAGTATTGCGACTTTTCCTTGGTAATTTTAAGGTATTTAGTACTACCACCACTTAAAATTAACTTAAATTATTAACATTTAATCAACCGATTGAAATGAAAAATAGATAGGATTTTTTTAATATAAATACTCAAAGATAAAAAAAACATTTGTTAAACTATTCGAGGCTGACAGCGCGACGGACAGAACTAAAAAAAATGTGATCATCAACTTCCAAACATGTTGTTTATAAAATTTATAAGATACTAGCGGCTCACCCTCGCTTCGCTCGGGTTCGTCGCTAGGTACGTTTTAAATAGATATAAAAAGAAAAAATCTTTCTTTCTCACATTTTAATTATATGTTTTAATACTTACCTATTCCGGACTAAGAGAAATCCAAAAATTAAAATATCATAAAAATTTGAACGCGGTCGAACGGGATAAAAAGTATCCTATGTCCTTCTCCTGGCTCTAAACTACCTCCCTGCCAATTTTCAGCTAAATCGGTTCAGCCGTTCTTGAGTTATAAGCGAAGTAACTAACACGACTTTCTTTTATATATATAGATTAACTTCATGAAGTTATTATTCATCGTTTAATTTGAAGCAAACGTTTATTTAAAAATATAAAATATTCTAAACATACCAGGTTTTTCAAAAATAATAAGTCTTCTTCATCTGAGAAAGTTGATGTACTAGGAATTTCGGTTGTTACTTGAAACCGAGCAGCCTTGGAGCGCCGGGTTGTTGTGGCTGATGAATCTAAGTTTTGTGTAGTTGTTAATCCTTCAGTGAAAGGTCGAAATGTAGTTGATATTCTAACATCTTCTGTGCTTGATTGTTCAGGCTGTAAAGTAGACACAGTGACAGGCCCAGGCGTAAAACTATTAAATACAGGAGATGGACGCGACGTAAATGCTGGACGGAGACTAAGAGGCGTGGTAGGAATTGATTCTATTGATGTAGTTAAGGGATTTGAAGCTACTCTAATATTTGACGTGAGTCCAGATATGATTGGTGAACCAGCATTTTGATTTCCAGTAGCTTGTAGTAACGCTTGCAATAGCTTTGTATCTTCTTGTAGTTTTCTCAAATCATCATTTACAGATAATGTTGTTGTACCGATAGTTGTTGATGTAGTTGTGGTTGGAGCAAGAGTAGTCGTCGTAGTAGTGGTGGTAGTTGTGGTAGTTTGGGGAGTAGTAGTAGATGCAGTAGTAGTTGTTGTCGGCCTTGTTGTACTAGGAGCAGTAGTAGTGACTGTTCGTATAGCATCTAAATTTGGTAAATTAAGTTCAGCTGGATTACGTCCTGTAGCAAGTAAAAGTGCTTTCAACAGTTTTGTGTCTTCTTCAAATTGTCGAATATCATCTTCGATTGACCGAATTGTTGTAGTTTGTTGCCTATTTCTATTATTACCCAAATTTAGGGCACCTCCAGTTAAAATTGCTTGTAGTAGTTGTGCGTTATCATTTTGTTGATTGTTTGGAACTAAATTTGCATTGTTAAAGCCATTTAAGTTTTTAGGATTACGTCCAATTTGTTGTAGCAACGACTGGAGTAATTCAGCGTCTTTTTGATTAGAAGCGGCAGTTTCTAAAATATTATTGGATGTTGAAGTTTGAATAGTAACCGGAGCGATAGCAGTTGTAGTCGTTGGTGTTACAGTGGTAGTCGTTGGCGTTGCAGTTGTAGTGGTTGGAACTGCAGTTGTAGACGTCGGTGCTGCAGTAGTAGTAGTAATTGTTGTCGTTGGAACTGCGGTCGTAGTAAAAGCTGCTACTAATTCTGGAGAATTTATTGTAGAGGTAGCTTGAGGAACCGTAACAGGTGTCGAGGTGGTTTCAGTTGTTGTATGTGGTAAAGTGATTGTCATTGTGGTAGACGGTAGTGAGCTTTGTGAGTTTACAGTGGTAGTTTCTGTACTTATATCATTCATTAAAATAGGTAATTCTGATGGTAAATTGGTTGCTTCAGAAGTCATTTCCGTAGGTAATTGTGTTCTAGGTTCAGACTCAGTTGTAGATGTTTGTATTTCTTTAATTGCTGAAGACTTAGGCATTTTTGTAGAAGCTAGCTTCAATACATTAGATTCGTGTGGTGGTACTGTTACTTCGTCTATGGGTATAAATTTAAATACTGCATTTCCGTTTCCATCGTCAGGCTTTTCCGTGCGAATTTGTTTTGTCTGTAATTGAGATAAAGATTTTAAGGATTCCTTCTCTAAAATTCTTAAAAAAGGAACTTTTTAATTGTGATAGGTACAACACTCATTATTTTTATTGATTAACCCTCACCACTTACCTTTATTTCTCAACAAAAATTACTGCTTTAAACATTTGTCATGCACTATTAATGATTTATTAAGTTCATTAATTATTTAAAACGTTGTTACTATTAGGTTAGTTGGATTTATAGCTGATTAAAATGTAAAATGTAAATGTAAGTGTAAGAATGTAATGCCAGGATATAATGATTATACCTCCGGATCGATATCCAGTGTTAATATTCTTGGTTCGCTAGTAGAACTTGTCATTGAGGATATGACCATCTCCTCTTTAGTAGCCGAAGATATACTATTAAGCAGAATTTCGTCAACGGAAGGTAACATTGTAGTTGTGCGTAAACTCAAAACATGCGAGGCAGTGCTTTTTTCAGCAGGCGACTTATTTGTGGAGGTAATTATATCGAATGAACTGCTATCTTTTATATTAAGTGCCGATGAGGAAATCTGCAATTATGAAATAGACAGTTAAGCTTTGCAATGTTAATTTGGGATGTGATTAAGGTGCAAAAGGCATGCAAAGCTTACCTTGGTGCCATCACCTTCCCTTAATACATAATGTACTACATACTATGCAATGAAAAAGCCCCAAGCATAGCTTTTAAGCTAAACAACATAAAATTAATACCGTAGTTTGTAGGTTATTTACAGTGTCGGTGGTTAATTGGTTTTCCGTTCCGTTATTTGAGGTGTCTGTGGATATCACAGTATTAGTGGATACTCGGATAGGGTTAGACTGCGGTCTGACAATGGCCGGAATGTTATGGATGGGGCTATATGGATTTCTTAAGCTCCATGGACTAATTGGTAGTATGTCAATTTTTTGCATGATTCGTGGTACTCTAGTTCCATTAGGAAATTTTCGTATTACTGTGTTATTTGGTAGTACGCCGTAAATGATGTATGGACTCGCTTCTGTTAATGTTTCCAGTACGTCATCGTTAGGATCTTTACGTACCACGGTGTTGTTAGGCAGTATCCCGAATATAACATAATCTTTTTTCGGAATAGTCGATGGAGTGATGACGTTGATTTGATTGCTAAATTTATTTACATTTTTAGATAATGTTTCACTCGCAGGTGCAAGCGTAGTATCAGTACCTGCTGTAGTAGTTGTTTCTACAATGTTTTCAGCTGTACCCATTTCTGTCACTGATTCAGTATTAGAAGTGGTAGTCATAGTACTACCTAACGTTGTAGACTGAATAATGGATGCATTTAAATCGGTTGTTTCTACAATGTCAAGGCTTGATGTTCCTAATCTTGTTTCAACAGCTATTGTTTCAACCATTGCTGTTGAAGTAGAAGCATCAGATACATCAGTTACATCATCAGTTGTATCAATAAGAGATTGAGAAGCTGACGTTTCAGTGCTTATTCCAATAGTAGAAGCAGTGTTAGATGGCACGGGTGTCGTTGTCAATATAACTTCAGACACAGTTTGTGTCGATGTAACTGTTTTTTCAGTTGTAATTAGGTCTATTGCAGTTTGAGAGGAGGTAGAAGGAATTGTGGGGGGAGTCGTCATTTCAGTATTGGTCACAGGAGTAGAAGTCAGTCTGTCTTCATTATTAATGTCAGACATAATAGTTGTTGTTGTCATATCCATTGTGCTTACAATTTCACTTAGACGACTAGAAAGAGATACTTTGTTTTGATTTATATCATTAACTAATTCTGTTAACGGAGCATTTGAAATTTCGTCATTGTGATTTCTTATTATATCTTCAATCATTTTTAAAACTCGAGCTTTTTTTGACAGTATCCATAACTGTAAACGCGATAGTTGACTCGGGTCCTGTATATTGTCAATATTTTCTATTTCTTTTACCTGTAATGATTTCGTCGGGACAGCAGGCGATATTTCCGTTAAACTTATTTTATCCACATCACTAAGGTCATTCAATTCAAAATTAGATATGAATGGGATTGGAAGAGGATTGTTAGTAGCAGTATTCATATTTAATTGTGTACGAGAATCGCTATTCATAATAATCATATCTGCCCCTGGAGATCTCAAAGTTAATTCTATATTCGGTGCAGCGGCAGTAGAGAATGTGCTAATTGAGTTACTTAAATTAATAGAATTTGATTCTGTTGATGAAATTTGCATTTCAGTAATAATTTGTATAGATGACGTAGCTTGAGTTCCAGGTGCAGGTGTGATTGTGCTATCGGAAGTCTCAAGTGCAAACGTGCTATTTACAGTGGGAGTTGTAACAGTTGTAGGAATTGAGGCATCAATTTTTGTACTATTTACAATATTTGTGTCATCTACATTTTGGAGGATATTTTCAGCTAAAGGATTAAACTCATCTTGGCTATTTATATCAATATTTGCAGTATCTTTAATATCCTCCAAACTGTAAGGAGTCGTATTAGGAAGAGAGTCAAGGTCATCTTGCATGGATAAAGATCTATTTAACTTGGGAATCAAAGTATTTAATAATTTAACCATATCTACCGAAAGCCTAGCTCTACTATCCTCGTCCATATTTTGTATAATATTTTTTATATTATTCGATAGCATGCTAGTTAGCTCAGGAGAAACTATTTTGTTATTAGATAGTATAAGATCAGATACTGTGTTATATACCCTTGTAGAGGTTTCAGTCGTCGGTTGAATCGTAGTAGTCACAGAAGTCGTTTTGTCAGTAGTTCGTTCGGTATCTGCGTATAACACTTTTATGGCAAATGGTCTCCTTGCGGATAGAGGTGTTGTAGGTGGGGAAGTAGGAGGTGGGAATGTTTGGGGTGTATTCACAGGAGAAGTTGATCCAGCTTCAATATTTTGTGATGGTGTAATTGTTCCCTCAACCGGCATTCGGTTAAACACATTTGGCGTAGACTGTTCAGTGGTTTGTACAGTTTTAGCAATGGTGGTTATAACGTCCGTTGTCATAAATGTGTCTTGACTAGTTAAGTCTTTTACACTATTTACATTAATATTATTACTCACGCCGTCAAGTGTTTGCTTTACATCGTTATTAGTGTTTTGAAATTGCAATACTTCTGTTGTTGAGGAAATACGAGGCTTAGGTGTAGACGTAAGTATTTCAGCTAAAGCATCAAATATTGATACTGTAACTGAAGGTGAATGTTGTGATGCCTCAACATTCATAACTTGTAATGATTTGGCCAGGCTCTCGGAAAGTCTGAGGTCAGCTGAAGTTAGTGGACTTCGTGATTTAGTGAAAGATATTGCATTCATGTCTGGCCCTAACTGAATTTCTTCTCCCACTACCTGAAATAAGAAGTGATCTCACCCATAATTATAGAGATAAAAGTGAGAGATAAAGTTACAACAGGATTCGAACGTGAGATAGTTTAGAAATACCCAGAAAATTGTGCGTAGACCAAAGCCTCTTTATTACTTTTGGATTTTGTAAAATAAATGAAAAGAATTTCTAAAAAGAACATACACTACCATAAAAGTGAGTATTGAAACAATTTTTAACATAATCAAGGTTTAATTATTTATATAAAATTAAGTACAATGCATTTAGGCATGATAGTATTTAAAAATATTTAGTGCTATACATAATTTGTATATGCTTAGTCAACTCCTTGCATTGCTCATAGTTTTATCTATAATTGTTACTTACAATTGAAATAAATTATTATAATTAATGGTTTATTGACAGTCAATATTTGTATATATTTTTAAGCTAAATGCAATTCTAGAATACTGTGTAAGTATTAAAATCCAATATAAACAATAAAATTAATTATAAAGTATATAGATTTAATATTAAACTACGTAAATGAAATGAGAGCATGATAGTGAAGACATTTTTAATCTAAATAATGTCAATAACCGGTTGTAAGGCTGTTTCGTGCATGCATGTTGGCGATGTAGTATTTTGTCTTGACATCTGTTCTGTGGTAACATCAGAAAAATCTTCATCTTCGAACCAGTTTGGCTCTTCTATATACTTTGATAAAAGATGATCAGTCACGAAGAATTTCAGCCACGCCTTTTGTAATGAAAATATTAATTAAAATGTTGATGAAAGCAGTGAAATGAAATGAGTTCATGACAATGAAATGTTTTTGTTAGATACATAATACATATTATATTCATAGATGTTTATAAATGTAATATACAAGAATATGATATGGTATGAATTCTAAATTATAATGACAGAAAGTATTATGTGAAATGAAATGAGATATATGTATATAATACGAATACCAATTTCATAAAGGGGCTTTGTATTTTTGAGTTTTTGTTAATATTAAATAATTGTTGTACGTATTCTTAAAATATTATTGATATTTACAATCAAAATCTGAAGAAAATCGTTAGTGTTTGTAATATTTAGTACTATATTCTGTTTAATTTTAATTAAGACCATTATATTGTGTTATTTATGTAAGTACTTACAGTTGTTGGTGTGATTGTGGGTACAGTGGGTTTGTAAAAGGGTTTATCAAGGTATGATGCTCTGTATTTAGAACTAAATTTATTTTTAGCTTTGTCTGGTTCACCTATTATCTGTAAAACGATTATTTTACTATGTTTAATCTAAGTCCATCGTTTTAATTATCATTAAACTTTTGACAGTTATTATTATGTTATAATAGTAACTAGTAAGTAAGCAAAATATATACTTACGCCATTTGATGAGGGCTCCGTTGTCTTTGAAAATGTATCACTATATTTTCTCAAGCTTCTCGCAGTAGATTTAGGCGTGACAATTGAAATTTCTTCTCTATGTTTTGAAGGTTTTCGTCCATATTTTCTTGTTTGAATATTTCTTATAGGAGGAGTAATTACTTCTCTATTTTGCAATGAAATGTCTTTGTTAGTATCTTTGTAAGTTGCATGATATTTTTGTGTTGTATTTATGATATTATTGATAGGCTTAGTTCCATTGTCGTCAGCTTTGCTGATTATTTCATTGACCGTACTATTTTCTACGGATTCCATACTGTTTACTGTGATGATAAAATTTTGATTTTCATTTTTAAGTTCATTGTCTTTGTCACTGTTCCCATCAATTTTTGCGGCACTATTCGAATTTGTAAAAATTAGTGGTATCTCGGCGGTGTTTTCCACTTTTTTTTCAGCTATTTTTATTTCTTCTGTGACGGCTTGAATACTTGCATCAGTTGTTGGATTTTTACTTTCCGTTTTATTTTTTAACCTAGAGTAATAAGAAGTCCTCGGTAGTATTTGTTTAGGCTTAAAGGTTGGGCTCTTATCACTTCTATCTATTTCTATGATTTTAGGAACTTCTGAGCTTACGTTAACGTTTTTTGGAAGATTTCTTCTTGAATATAAAGACGAGCGCAATACAGGTTTTTTAAATAAATTATTATTACTTTCTAGACGTTTACTTTTTAACGAGTTATCTACTTCGGGTATCTCTGTTGTAACTATTTTCTGTTTCCTACTATATTTATAAGGTCTTTGAGTAACTGGTCTAAAAGAAGTTGTAGAAATTGTTGAAGTCGAAATAGAGCTGGATTTTTTACTTCTTGGCACATACGATCCTCTTAGACGATATTCTACAGATTTAGGCTTAGGTTGTGTTGGAGATTGTGTAGTTTCCTCTTGTACAGTATCATTACTATTAGTTTCATTTTTATTTTCTTCTAATTTTATTTTACTGCGAAGCTGAAATTTAGTTTTATAATATACATTAATTATTACCAATAGCTGAACTGATACAAATAATTTGACATTTATTATTTTTAAATGAGTGAACTTTGTAAGTACGTACATTTGTGATAGTTAAGTTCATTAAGTACCGTGGTTGAGTTTTATGTAAAAAAATAGGTATAACTAAAGCAATGCAATGTAAAAGTGAAATATTTTTTATTCAAAACTAAAGTAATGGATTAATTTTAATATTACCAGAGATTGCTTTTCTGTATCAGGAGCCGTGAGGATAGATTGTGGTGATGTTGTGTAAGTATTAAAGACTTTTTGTGATGCTTTCACTGACAAACTCTCGCTGGGTGGAGAGCTCGCTTGTGTCTGAAATTGTTTATTGTTTTGTTTTAAATACTTTTGCATACAAATCAGTTAATTTTGAAAAATGAACCATGTATGCGTGATGTAAGTTTCAGTATGATTTATATTTGTTAGTACGTGGGCAATGTTAGTTTATATGAAACAAAATGGATTTTTGTTAAAGTGCATATTTATTTGTCACTCGAACATGATACAAAATGGTATTAATATGAGTGATATTTATGATTAAATGCTATATGATTCAGCCTATTCTACTCACCGATGCATTTTTAGCTTGAATTAATGCTTTAAAAGTTTCAGGATAGTTATCGTCTTCCTGAATTTCTTCTGATACCTTAGCTGTGGCTATAGGTGTTATTACTTTCCTTCTGGAAATTGGTCTCTTTACAACCTTTGTTGTCTTTATAGTGCTAGTTTTAGAAACTCTTTCAGTCGTTTGTCTAATTAGTTTTTCCGTGGTTGATCGAGAAAACGACTTTAATCCTGCTTGACTAGCAATATTTTCTCTTATTTGACTAGATTTCACTTCGTTCAAAGGTGCTAATCCTTCACCAGTTAAATTGGAATCAACTTCCGATTGTCTAGTTTTGTATCTTAATTTTCTTGAGTTTCTAAGGTCACTTGATCTTGCCGTTGTTGGTTCTTTAAGAGACGTTGTTACTGTATTAGCCGTTCCTGAAACTTCTAAATCTAGTGCCCGTAAATTTGTTCGAGTGTTAATGCGATTGCGGGCTCGAGCAGTAGTAGCTTCTATTATACGAGCTGTTGAACTTCTTCTTTTAAATTGACTATTGGGATCGTTTACTTCTTTTGGCGAGGTTCTGGCTATGTCATTAAAAGCGGAATCGATATATTCACTTTTAGTTGAAGATGTAGGTGTAGTATTAGGTAAAGGAGCTTGTGTTGATTGAGATATAGCAGGTCTGTTAACTTGTCGAGATCGATTTCTTGACTGAATGTCTCTGTTCACTGTAGTATCAAAATTTTCTTCATTAATAGTAGGTCTGCTCCGCGTTCTTGTGTTTTGTCTTCGCAAATCGAATCGCTCGTTTCGTACAGTTTGGAGTTGAGATGTTTCTGTAGTTGAAGATGTGACGTCATGTCTGCTTCTGCTTTTCGTTCTTGAAATGTCACGTGGAGGAACTTCCTCTCGTCTCCTGGTAACTCTTGATCTATATACGGGTGGTGCATCTTCTGGTTTATCTAAGGTGGTAGAATTTCTGTCAGAGTTTGGAAACCGCCTGCTGACTCGTGATGCACCTTCCACCTGTAAAACAAAAAAAGTCACTTATATATCGTTTTATATAAAAAGTTTAATAGTCTTATATAGAACCAGAAATAAAATACTTCTTTTTAAAAAATAAATTATTTATACTTTTCTGTAAACTTATTATTTACTTCGCTTTCTTTAGAATTAAAAAAGTATAACAATAACAGAATGCACATTAAATTTACAACAATGAGTGCTTATGAAATCTATAACAGCATCTGGATAGGCAACGATGTCATACAATGAAAAATCCATTATGTTAAACAATACTAGGAAGGGTTGTTTGAGTAAGAGATATGTACCATTCTTCTTTCACCGCTCAAATATACCTAAAATGTGTACCTAATACATAAAAAATAGGTATAAAAAATATTATTGTAAATTATTTAATTTTATGTGTAAATTATTTCAATTTTTTTTTTATAATACTTATGTTCAAATAATATTTTAATATATTTTATAATGAGGCGTTTTAAATGGAAATTTAATTATTTATGATTATAATTATAATTAATAATAAGTTAAAAAATGATAAATTTTAAATAAACAAAATTATATAGAAATATTCTAACAATATATTTCTGTAAATATTAACAAAAAATATGTTGTTAGCTATGCAATATGTTCAATTTTATAAACAGCAATAATTATAAATTATGATATTTATGAATTATAGTAACTTTTATTAAAATTAATGTAAGTTTTATGATATAAACTAGCTGTAGTAATACATATGTATGTCTAATCGAAAATGAATTTATTAAAAACACAGATATTTTCCTATATTGAATTTAATAACTAGTTTAAAATTATAATTTTAAACTAGTATATAATATATATTAAAAAATTCAAAAAGCAATCAATCTTTAAGTGAAAGAGATATTGCTTACCATTTTTTTTTCATTTTTATATATATTTGAAACAAATGCATTTTTGTAAACATATGCTTACAAATTTAGTTTATGTGTGATGTAAACCTAAGTAGATAACATTTGCTTACATTATACCTGGGTAGCTTTTAGAGGAAACCATTGAGTGTAATTAATAGTTATATGACCTTGATGACTTTAAATAATTTGAAACTACATATATACATATGTACCCTAAAAGGGTCAATCAATATAAATGCTGCTTATGTAAATAAGTCATATGTTTGTATTTTTTGCTGCCAGTTTTTTGTTTTTCATTATTTTTTAGTACCAATAGGATATTAGTATATTGCATAAAAATAGATTGGATTGATTGACATTAATCTAAAGTATTAAAGTAATTAAAATATTAAAAAGAAAAAATCTTCTTCATGCATCCCCTTAAAAAGTGGTTAAATTACACCGTTATAATGCTAAGATTGCTACTCATGTGTACCAATTTCATACATGAAGGCACTTTGCAGGAATCATTGTACCGAATCAATAGTTTCAACAGCGCGAAAAAATGTGGAGGGCCACGAAGAAAGCAGTATATTACATACTTTTATATATATTTTTGTTCGCTGACAGAAATTACGTAGATCCTAAGTTCCTTACTAATAAAGCACTGGAAGTCATTTTATGCATACAGATAATTAAGACTTAAGTCAGACATGTTTACTTTTTAGCCTGTTTTACCTCACGCATCGAATTCTATGGAAAAAAATGATTAATAATTTTAGGGAATTCTTCTTAAAATTATAATATTTTTTTTATAATTTCTTACTTCATCGTTGTGTTATTGTATTGCATAACTCGAGCTAATATCGCAAATTTGACTTATTGGATAATATGATAATACGTTACTTAGCTTTGCGCATTTACTCCGCTAAGTAACAACGCGAAATGTGGAAAAAAATAAATTTTACTTTTACTATAGAGAAACCAATAAAAATTAAAATCTTTAAAAATTAAATGCGTATTTCTTATGGCCCCAAGTGCTTAATAGCCTTGGTAATTTTAGAACTAACAGGTAAATAATGTTTATATCAAATAACACATAATTATTCAATTCAATTATTCAATTTGTGGGTCTACTGCAATGTTTAGTGTAATGATTGTCTGTGTAAATAGTACAGTGTAATAATCCACTCAGTGGACTAACGATGGCGTCTAGACAGGGTGATCGTGCCGGAAGTAAGTGCAAGGTGAGACGCGAATACCACCATAGCGACTGTCATACTTTTGTATGACAAATCCAAATTCAAAATATTAATATTAATACAAAAAAATAAAAAAGTATCATAAATTCATTAATAAAATTTCAACAATAAAACGTTTTAATATAAAATATTATTCAGTATTTCTTCAGTTCCGTTTTCTTAAGTGTCAAGCAAAAAGTGAATGTAAATCTTATCCCGTTCAAAATCAAAGGTCGCAGTGTATGACAGCTCATTATGTACTAATCTAGAGCACCTGAGGTCTAACTTAAGATCTAAGCACACTCGGGCCATGTCATATATAATATATGTTTATAATATATAAACATAACCCAGTATATTTGTTCAAAACAGTATGAGTAATTACAGTAATTTATGTACTTTAATAGTATTAAGCTTAATATTTTATTTAGTAAAAGAAAAGTAGTAACTAGCAGTTCAACGTTCAGCTATTTTAGCGTAAACAAGTAAACAAGAAAAACAACAACAAACAAAAAGTAACAAAGAAACACACAACACAACAACACACAAACTTTCGACTTGATAATGGTGTTTATAATTTATATTACAACAATATAAGTTTCATTAGTAACAAAATAAATTACATATTACAATTTTCAATAGGACTCGAGGTAAATATCTACATAACCTAGTTATATTAATAGGGAAATTTAAATATTTATGTCTTAATACTTGTCTTTCAATAACCCGGTACCATACAGTCTAAATGACCTAACAGTAATCTTACATTACGTTACGTAAACTCTAGTATATATCAAGCATAAATGTAACTTGTCTTTCAATATATATGTGTATATATAATTTTATTCAAATCTGTATATTTTTAATACATGTTTAAGAATTAAACCAATAAACTTATAAGTTTAATAAAGATATTGATGACAACAGCTTTAAAAGTTTTTCTAGGTTAAAGGCTAATTTTTTAATATTCAAATTTTGAGATATAAGATATACATTACGTATATATATCACAATTAAAAGAAATATATGCCTGTCACACATACCTACACAACTTTTAAAATATGATCCATAATAAAAAAAAATTGTAAACGAAAATCTACCAATATGCTTTAAATTATTTTTAATTAATTAATATTATTCTAACTTCTTGAAAAAGCATGCTTCATTTACAATGACTAATGAATATACTAATATTTATATTGATTAACATTATAAAGTGTTAAATTTGCTTTATTCTATTTATATTTAACAAATTAACGTAATAAATAAATTGGCATAACAAACCTGTTTGGTTACTTATTATCAAAGTTATATTAGTAATAAAACACTTATTGTTTAATTGGAACACACGTTTTGTACAGAAGGCTACAATAACAAATTATTTAGTAAAAGAATACTATTACAATAAATCGAGTAGGAAAAACACAACTAAAATAGTACTTAACTTTGTTTTTTAACCAAAATTGAAATAACATGAATATTATGTATAATCCATACATATAATAAAATTGTAACTAAGCCGAATCTGTAAGTCAGATATTTTTTGAAAAATCTTATTGAAATAGACATTATTATCGATACAGAGGCCGATTCTATAGTTTTTAGAATTTTTGTCTGTCTGTCTGTCTGTTACCGCATCACAGAAAAACCACTGGAGGGATTTTGATGAAATTTGGTATGGTAATAGCTGGTTGTCTGGGTCAACATATAGGATACTTTTTACCGCGAGAAAATATCTCATTTCTGAGAAAAAATACAAAAACTGTAATTTAAGAGTATTAATATGTAAAACTGTCTAAACGCGCGCGGAGCCGCGGGGAACGCTAGTCATTCAATAAATGTATAATGAATTGGCTTTAAAAACTTAATTACTTGCGTTGAATATATTATTTGCTATTTGTTGCTGACTGTACACTGTACAGTGTATGCATTGGGCTGGCCAGCTCCACGATTATAAGTCACGATATCAAATATCTTTAACAACAGACCGTGAAAATGAAATTTATTACTGTTTAATGTAACTAATGGTACTGTGATAGGTTATTATGATAACATGTTTTTATATGTATTCAGCCCTTTTTAACGTCCCATTGCTGGACAAGACCCCTCCCCTCCCCTCCCCCATGAGTGAGATCAGGCCATAGTCCACCACGCTGGCCAAGTGTGGGTTAGTTTTTGATATAAAAGCCCTTCAAGATGAAAAGAAATAAAACTAATGTTACGTATTACATATACATAAAGCGTTATTAACAGTGACAGGATAATTACAAAATCATTGTTTGTAGAATCGCTTTAGGAATACGGTATAACATTAGAACTGCTGTATAATTACGAGTCTTGGTTCAGGAACAATCCAAAATGATATTTATTTTATAAAAAAAACTTATAAAAGTACAATTATATATTAACTAAATAGAAAGTATCACTCAATACAGCCCTTCATAACGGATCTACGTGGAAAGTGTAAAATGAATCATAACATCGATTAGTTATGACATATTGAGAAATACTAACGTCTTAAACAAATAATTATTACTCAGGTGTCTTTTAATATTAATTAATTCGTGCAATAATTGCCCTGCCCTATGCAATAATACAAGAGACAACTTTATTTCGAGTCATATTGTTATATGTATAACTTATTTTTATCTGTGAGATTATCCTTTTAAAGACATGTTTACACAAGAGATTTTGGCTCGAGGGTACGAGTATCGAAATATAATAAGTTGGGCAATGTAAGTGTATTGTATAATTTAGTTGATATAATACAGTTTATATATTGAACTTTTTATATACTTTCGAATTACTCGCCTCGGAGATACGAAGCTGCCTCTTTTTTTTAACGTTGGGAAATGCATTTACGAAGCTGCCTCTGTGTAAATAAACT